TGAAAATGGGCATGTGGATCATATTTCAAAAGGGAATATGCAAATTTGTCTGTGAGTGAAGAGATCTCAAGTTCCATGGAATCTATCAATTGGAAGCAAGACTAAAATGGCCAAGAAATATTTCGGGACGTCAGATTTATTAAAAACAGTTTTTTATTTGCTGTTATAAGCGAAAAATGTACGAATTTCTTACATGTACAAAGCCCACGCGGTAAAATTCATTATGCTTAGATCGTTGTTTACTGCCTTCATGGCCAGAAATTGCGCAGCGTTATGTTGAAATTCTGAAAAAACTTCGATTTGAGGCAAAATCTTCTATTAAACAATACTTTTTGAACAAATTATTACTCGAACATAATATTTACCCGGCCATCGAATCGTCAAATTGTTGCTAGGCCCTGCTTGAAGTCCGAAAGTTCGGTTTTCACTTTACGTCCATAATTCGCATCGCCTTTGAGACTCTTGATGTCGTTGACTCGAGAGCTTATTCTATCACCTTTAAGACCTTGATATCCATTCTTTTCCAAGCAGAGAATTCTATAGCATTGTTACTTTACATTCTGAGTTCCACAAGGTCTAACTCGATCGCAAATGAACGAAAAATCCAATCTGAAAATTTTGAGGGTCGGCCGTGCAGACGCCATATTTTCAAATTTGATCATTTAGTGAAGACGCATAGAATAATGCCCTTCGTACCCCCTAAAGCCGACAAAATATATGCGCAAACAACAGATTCTGATTGGCTTATTGATCTCCAAGCTATAGAGGAAGTTTGGGGATAAAACTCCACTTAGTAGGGGAGGTAGGGGGGAAGCGTTCTCGCACGAGGCAATTGCGAGGTTCGGGCGGTTACGGGCGGTTCAGGTGTCAATGTGTTTTTAATTAAACTTCACGACAGCTAATGTAATCCGTTGAACAGATCGGAAAACATTGCGAATGAAATATTATTTGTCTCTTTTGACTGATGCACCCTTACAAATATTTAACACAAATGATTTTCTTTCGATGGCGGGCTCAGCTGACCGAGAAAGCAGTGCTCTAAAGTTAAGGCAGTTGCCTGAAGCTTTTACATGTACGCAGCAGTTGCCATCCTTATTTTGAAAATAATTTTAAAGCAACCTGTCTAGGCCGGTCTAGGTGACGTTTTGTTATGAAAAAAATAAAAAGAACCTGGAAAGTGTGACATTCTAGAAGTTACACTCAGCACTGGTGGTAATACCTGCCTACAAATTCAAACTCTCTATCGTAGCTCGTTGTAAATATGTGACCTCTAACGCGAAAACGTTCCCAACGGTTTGCCGTTTACGCACGGATGCCGTGTGTATGCCGTAAACTAGCCGTGCGAAAGGATTGGGCATCCGTTCGAACGCCTCGGGCTATCCATGCGAAAAAAAGGTGCATCCGTTCGAACGGGTCGGGCTATCCGTGCGAAAAAAATTTGCTTCTGTTCGAGCGGCTCGGGCTATCCGTGCGAGAAGAATTTGCTTCCGTTCGAACGGCTCGGGCTATCCGTGCGAAAAAAATTTGCTTCCGTTCAAATGGTCGCATTATCCGTTCAAAAAAGTCATGATTAATTCACCCTAACCGTTCGCAACTTGATCTCTCGAGCAGGAGTCACTTTTTGGAAACTTTTTCGTAAATTTTGTAAACAAGTATGACAAAATTAAAAATTCAGAAAAATCTTGAAAAATGTTGTTTACTTTGACACAGACAGGAGACACTTTCTGCATTCTTGCATGCGTAATGATCCGTGAATTCACACGCAAGGCAAATATAAAATTTCTACCCGCTCAGTTTCCCTGAATTTGATGGAAACGTCTTCTAAGAAATATAACCTACTCAAAGATTTTCAATCTGACCAAATACAGAGAAGTTCTCGTTGTATATTCATTGCTTATTACGCGTACAGGAATGTCCATGTGATTTTGACACTAGTTACTGGAACGACCTGAGAGTACGCTTGTTGTCTTGACTGTAAACGTGGAATTAGGAGTTACATCTCTAGCGTGGATTAGTGTATAATTATTTTTGACATTTTATATATCTTAATATCGCGTCTTTTGCTTTTAGGCTTATTGTTGTTTTATGGTTAGATGTTCGGAGATACTAGCGCACAGACGGCTGTCGTTTCTCCGCGGCGAAGGCAATAAAAAAAATTATTCTTGAAACTATGAATTACAACGCAGATCAGGATTTTCGAATCAATCAGTTGTCCTTTATTAGAAAATGATCGAGCTGTTCGTTCTTATAAAGCTGCAAAGTCGCTTGTTCCAGAATAAGAGTATTACGATTACGATTATTATCTTCGGTCGTCTGGCCGATCGACCGCAGCGGTTCAAAATTAATTATTAAATTTTTATTCATTCGT